CGACCAATTGTAAGCCACACTGTATAAATACAGCAGCAACGATGCCCTCCAGAATAGTTCCTGGTGTACACCAACTCTCCCTCCTCAAAACTCCTAGTCCGGTCAGTGGACTCACTGTGTGGGGGTCTGGATGTGGTTAGGTCCGGCTGCATGTGGTCAAGGAGAGTTGTAAGACGCCGACCCATCAGTATTTCTGCTGGGCTCCGCCCCGCCACAGAGTGTGGTGTGATGTGCTGGTGCAGGAGGAACGACGCCACCTTTTGGCTCCAGTTTCCCTGCACCAGGTGGCTCAAAGTTTCCTTAGTGGTCCGCACCATTCTTTCGGCTTGGCTGTTGGTAGCCGGGTGGAATGGTGCGGACATGCTGTGCTGGATGAGATTTGCCGGCAAAAAATCCTGGAACTCAGAGGCGGTAAAACAGATCCCGTTATTAGACACGAGTGTGCCAGGCAACCCATGCATTGCAAAAATGTGGCGCAGCGCATTAATTACAGTTAGGGCCATCATTTTGAAGTTGGAACCACCTCTAACCATTTCGAGTATGCATTGACAATGATTAAAAATATCTGCCCCTGAAATGGCCCCGCAAAGTCGATGTGGACTCGTGACTAAGACCGGTGACATTTCTCCCATTGCTGTACCGGGGCATGTGGGGGATCAGGCCGGGACAGCTGGCACTCGTGACACCTCTGCACCCAACTCTCAATGTCCGAGTCTATTTTAGGCCACCAAAAATAACCTCGGGCCAGTCCCTTCATCCGCACTATGCCGGAGTGATATTTGTGCAGCGCTTCCAAAACCTGGTTTCTCAGTTTGGGGGGGACCACCACCCTGTTTCCCCACAGTAAACATCCTCTGTGGACAGAGAGTTCGCATTGCCATGATGCAAACGGCTTGAATTCGTCTGCGGCGCGCCCCACCAGCCACCCCCCTCCACACCCAGTTGAGCACCCTGGCAATGGAGTCTCTGGCAGAGGCGGTCGCAATGTCCGATGCGTGCACTGGAGGCTTGGCCAGTTCCTCGAGGGCCACCACCTCGAATGCCGGTGCAGGGTCAGAGTCCAATCCTGAAGAAGTCAAAATGTGTAGGATGAGGATTAACTGGTCCCAGGAACTGAATAGGGGTACAGAAAATCTTACCTTTAAGGGATTATCTTTTTATTTGCCCTTTGATAAAATGATTTTATCCTGTGTGTGTGTGTTTCACAAACATTTGATTTTAATCTTTTTTTGGTAATGTTTTTTTGATTCCAGAGATAAATGTGGAAAACTGCCATTATCCCCAAAGCAAAGGGCAATGTTCTCTCGATGGGTGCGGCCAGATGAAATATCAAATAATCCTACAATGATCTATACCGTTTCAAGTTTCAGCATCAAACAGGTATGGGTCTCTTGGGTCTGATATCTCTGAAATAGTTGAGGGGCTTTTAAATTAATTTTTTTTTAAACTTGGCAGCTGTCTTTTCCCCCTCCCTTCTGCGTTTTTATAATTTTTTGAGAAACTGCAGGCAGATTTAAACCTGTTTACCCAAAACTGAATTCCATTGGACCCAAACTGGGCCCTGCAGCAGTGGGGAAAATATGTTTCCTGCAGGGAAAACTTGCAGCCAAACATTTTGTGTAGTTTATTCCTTTATTTATAATATGATTTTTGGAGAGACAAAACTATGGCATGTTTTCCTTTCTCTCTTATGTGTGTGAGTTGTTGTTTTTTGCACCGGGTGATTAGAAAGCGGCATATCCTTGTAACTGTCTTTTGTTCTCAGACAATTGTATCCGATTGTTCCTTTGTGGCCTCACTTGCCATCAGTGCAGCATATGAAAGACGATATAACAAGAAATTGATTACCAGGTATGCTCTGTTTGGGTCAGAAGTTGTGCAGACTTTCTTGTAAATGGTCTTGGTGTTGGAAGGTAATGTACAACTAGAGAGGGCAAAGGCTTTAACTTGGTCTGGCAACCTGCAGCCAGAGCTTTGGCCGGCAGTTTCTAATCAAAATGTGAAATTCAGCCCCATCCAACACTCCCTCTAAGCCATGAAGTCTTGTGAGCAAAACTTCTACTCTGTGAGCGACTGGCATTAAAGTTGTGAGCAGGCGATTTGGCTGCTGCATAGATTAGTTTGCTCTGGAGCCATCCTCCCTGAGCGAAGACAAAAATGTGTGAGCCACAGGGGCTAAAAAAACATGAGCCAGCTCACACTAACTCAGCTTAGAGGGGACACTGGCCCCATCACTCTGTTTTCTCTTTGGTCTGCCTGACCCATTGGCCTCCATCCTCCAAGTTTTTGTGTCTGTTGGCTTGCCCACCACAGAAAGCCATTTCTCTCTCTCTCTAGGCTTGTATGACTTATCTCTCTCTCACACACGCCCTTCCCCAGTTCTGGACCTCCACCCTTCTTTGAGTCTCCATTCCTTCTGGTCACCATCAGTCCTCACAAGCTTGCGTTTCTTTTGGAATGTTTAAGGCCTCCATCCTAGCAGTTCAGACAATAGCCAGATCCCAGGCAGGTGACCCTCTTTTTTCCTCTCCTGCATAATCTACATGATTTTGTAATTGGATATTTCAGCACATGAGTCTAGAAGGTTGCGTTTGTCAAGATGCAGTGGTTGAGCTAAATTCTTCACTATTGAGTAAATGTTCTTAAATGTAACAGACGTAAAGTGTACTGGCTTGGAAAGCCTGGGAAGGGCAGCCCTCTTTTCTCCTTTCTTTTGTGGACCCTTAAGCATGAGGCCTTAAAGTTAAAGCTGTGCGAGCTGCACTGGCCTCCAGTGGATGAGGTCCCAGGCAATGTTCCCTCTAAGCTATGAAGCCCTGTGAGCAAAAATTCTACTTTGTGAGCTACTAGCATTAAAGTTGTGAGCAGGTGATTTGGCTACTGCATAAATTAGTTTGATATGGAGCTATCCTTCCTGAGCTAAGACAAAAATGAGTGAGCCTTGTGAGTGAGCGATTTGGCTACTACATAAATTAGTTTGCTCTGGAGCCCTCCTTCCTGAGCTAAGACAAAAATGAGTGAGCCAGAGGCTAAAAAACTGCGAGCTAGCTCACACTAACTCAGCTTAGAGGGAACACTGGGACTCCCAGTTGCTAGTTTTGACCTTAGGCCCCTAGCAGTCAGGGACCCACATACCTTCAGGACCACCTCTCTCAGTATGCCCCAAGAAGGGCGCTACACTTGGGAAGTAGGAACCTCCTGATGATCCCCGACCCAGAGAGATCGGGCTGTCCTTAACCAGGCCCCTGCCTGGTGTTCTGCCAAAGAACATCCATGCCCTGCGGGATTTGTTACCTTTCCGCAGGGCATGTAAGGCAGAGATGTTCTGCCAGGCATGTGTTTCAGGGCAGCAACGGGGCAATACATAGTCTGACACTCTCACAGCCTCCATTCTCCTCCCCCCCCGGAGGCTTGTGGTAGCTGAAATTTTTCCGCCATCTTGGATGGATTGTTTTATTTGTTGATATATGTATTATGTATTTTATTGCCAGTTTCAACTAAAAATCTAATTAAATAAGTACGTAAGAGTGTTAGTTTAAGTTCTAGCCATGGAAAACTATTTTGCTTATAATTTTAGCACCACATTACCTGGGTGCTGTTCTTAATGCATGACTCTTTTAATTTGACTGCTGCTACTCCATCAAGCGCCCCCCCCCCAAGCCGTGTTAACCTTAAACCCCTCCAGGCCAGCACCACTCTTCACCCAAACTCTTAGGTTGACAGCTCTGACCCTTTTTCCCCTCGCTTTTCTTCCAAATAGCATCATTTACCCTCAAAATAAAAAAGGAGAACCAGAATATAATCCGTGTGGAAAGTACACAGTCAAACTGCACATTAATGGCGTTCCTCGGAAGGTAAAGGACTTTTATGTTTGTTGTAAGAGTTGCAACCTGATGCATTTTGATATTTGTAGGTTAAAAACCTTGAACCAATAAAACAGGACCAATAATTCAGTATGTCTTGGTTGATAACTTTGAACCACGTTAAAACAGGACCAACCGTGCTTTGGCCCTCAAGGCCTTCCTCAGTGGTCATATTTTTGTATATACATTAGGGTTGCCAACCCCCCCCCCCCCCCCCTTTTCCGGGGGCCCCCCTTTCAGCTGCTCTTAAAGGGGAAACGCCGGCTCCTTTAAGTGCAGAGAACTGCCGTTTCTGGAGATCCAGTGGGCGGGTGGGGAGCGGCGGACGTCCCTGACGTGACGTCATCACGTCGGGGATGCCCCGCCCCCTCCAGGAACGCCCCCAAAGTCCCCCGCTGGGGGTGGAAGATGGACTTGACAACCCTAATATACATGCACACTATGACACATAAACATGTTAGTGCCAAGGCAGGTTAATTATAAGGCCTGAAGACGAATGAAAATATAATTATTCAATCATTTATATATGATAAATAAACAGTTTAATTGCAAAAAAACTTTTAAAAAATATTTTTTTGGAATTAGTTACATTCCAGATATCCTATGTGGCAAAAGAATCAGGGTTTTTCCCCGTTCGGTTTTGGTTTGCTGTTCTAAGAGTTGCTCCATTATAGCACAAGTCTGGCTTACCGCATAGCAAATGTGAAATTGATCAGTTTGATCCCAAGAACCTTCTTCATAGTCTGCCAGAGGCCTTGATGCCAAGATAGAGCTGCTGTCCTCCCCCTTGTTTCTCTTGTAAATGCGTGCTCTCTCTCTGTCTCCCCACCCCCCAATCCCCGTTTTTGTCTAGGTGATCATTGACGACTTCTTACCAGTAGATCACAGTGGAGAACTTCTGTGCTCTTACTCAAATAATAAAAACGAACTCTGGGTATCCCTGATAGAAAAAGCTTACATGAAAGTCATGGGAGGTTATGATTTCCCAGGATCAAATTCTGTGAGTACCTCCTTATTCTTGGCAAGGAGTGACGTCTGTGCAGGCAGGATTCCTTGGTGAACAACACGGCTTGTTGGAGAAGTTGAAATGGATTGTTTGAGACCAGTGAAAAAAAATTCTTAAGAATGCTTTCTATATCGCTTGCGTTTTGTGGAGCACATGCTTTTTCCAGCATGGCCAATGGATGAACTAACATTAGAAGTGCGTTCTTGAAAGATGAGACACCTTGATCGAGCCCTGATATTGACATTTTGGGGATGTGTTGCATTTTGGAATTTTGCTTTCTAGTTTCTGAGCCTTTGGTGAAGATTGCTGTTTTCCAGTTCAGTCTCTGCATCCATGAAGACATGGTGGAGGGGACTGGGTTGGATCCAGAGAACTGCAGGTGGATCTTTCCCAATTCCCCTTTTTCAATGCAGCTCCCTGTGTTTTCTCAGGCGTAAGGGAGCTCTTGCACATGTAGTGAAACAATGTGGAGAAGTAGGAAGGAAAAATCAGAAAGTTCTCTATCTTATGCCAGTGGAAGTGTCCTCCTGCTCGGGAAAGGAGGAGTTTCAAACCAACCCGTAATATTTTTTTACTTGCTACCAAAGTTAGGGGAAAAGGAATTTTGTGTGTGTGTCAAATATTTCATATCTTGATCTTCTGAATTCTGCTTTGAAAGTTCTGTTGATTGTTCCAAAAACTGTGATGCTTTAAATGGGGCTTGCAAGCTGCTGTTTATGACTTAACCTTCGGCACTAATGTTGTTACTGTATTTCATCCTTTGTGCCAAATCCTCTGTATTCTGTGCGTTAACCTTTTCATGCCAGAGCATTTTCATTCTTGCAGAAGAAACATACATGCACAAGCTACTATTTTTGTGCACTAAAACCCACAAAACCTGTGTTGCGGTGCAACTTTAATTAAAGCTATGTGCACAGAAGCTTCTGAAGCCTCTGCTTAAAGCACGTAATTGATAGTACTGAATGAACTGATGCATAGCTGGAACGTCCTGTTATTAAAATAAGCTTCCAACTTTTTGTATGTGTTCAAAATCAGGAAATGTAAAATGCAATTCCTCATTCATACCTGCTCTTACAAGAAGTGAAGTCTGGAACTGTGAGAACTGAAGCCATTATTAGTAAAAGTTTCTGCTTGCAGAGATTGATATTTTTAATGTAGTGTGCTTTAATGCAGGTATGAATATAATGGGGCTTATTTGCTGATGAAATCTGTTTGTTTCAGAACATTGATCTTCATGCGTTGACCGGTTGGATACCTGAAAGGATTGCTATGCACTCTGACAATCAGGCTTTTAACAAAGACAGTTCATTCAGAATGCTTTACCAGAGGTAACTTCCAGCTTGTTTCAGACATGCTCCAGGCACCTTGTTCCTTACAGTTCTGCAGGGCCTGTAAAGCGGAGCTGTTCCGCCAGGCTTTTGATTGGAGCAGCGGACGTTCAGCAATTGTGGCCTCCCCTGTTCATGGCCCCTTCCCAGTGTCCTGCTGCTCTAGACAATAGTGTTTGGGCACTGGAGCTTCTTGGGGGTGCCTGTATCCACCTGACATGAGGCACGGGTCTTTTCTGTTATTGTATATTGTGCCAGCTATTGTTTTTATTGTTTTGTGGATTTTATGTTATAAGCCACCCTGAGCCCACACTTGGGATAGGGCAGGGGATAAATTAAATAAAGAAAATAATAATAACAATAATAATAACAATAATAACAATAAACAACAATAATAATAACAACAACAACAACTTTTTAATATTGTTGTAGGTGTTGTTGTTGGATTTGCCTGATTTTCATTAGAACTGCTTTTTAACAGAAGTTTTGGGGTTTTTTTGTTTTTCGAGAGACATGAAAGTGATTGTGGACTATGTTATTTTTGTTTGGATTTTAGGGTAGGATTAAAACATGTTCCAAAGCCCCAGAAATATTATGAAATGTTGATGGGTCTGTGATTGTTAGTTGTACTCATTTACAGTTCTTTATGATTTCTGGTCATTCTTCCACTCCAGCCCCAGAATTCACTAAGTTTGCCATCAGTTTGTTGATCTCCCCAGAATGCCATCTGTCCTGACTCTGATATGGGTTCCTCTTCCTGGAGGTCAGCTCTGAAGGGAAAATGTCTTGTTTTTATGGGCAGGTTTCACAAAGGGGATGTGCTCATTACTACAGCTACAGGAGTGATGACGGAAGAAGAAGGAGAGAAATGGGGCTTAGTGCCAACGCACGCCTACGCGGTTTTGGATATTAGGGAATACAAGGTATTCTGTGGAATACTTATTTTTCCTCTAGAACCTTTGGAAGTCCTTTTTTTTAATGGACATTTAAAAAAAATTCCGTGGCCCTTGTGATTGTGCTCAAAATCTTGGTGAGGGTGTTTGCACAGCTTAGAAATACCTTTGTCAAATGAGATTTATCCAAATGTTCTAAAACGTTTGTGGTGGGTTGGACCCAGTCAGCTTTCCTGCAGGTGAAAAGGGAAAGTGGTCCCCTTTGACACCCCCTCCCACCCAAAGGCAATGCAGGAATGAGGGTTGTAACAGGGAGGGGAATTATTTATTTATTTATTTACATTATTTACTGTCCGCCTTTCTCGCTGGGACTCAGGGCAGATTGCGTAGAATAAGTCAGTACAATCAATAGAGTGGGGCATCCAAAAGACAATGCAGTAGGTGTGATTCATGGGAAAGTGGGCAGGATCCGACCTAGAATTTGGTTCCCTGAATCCTTGGAAAGAAATCTGCTGATGAAGTAATCCAGGTAACTTTCCTATATTTTTTGCTTCTCCTAGGGGCAACGTTTTCTCCAGTTGAAAAATCCCTGGAGCCACCTGCGTTGGAAAGGAAGATACAGTGAAAATGATCTGAAAAACTGGACTCCTGACCTCCAGAAATATTTAAACTTTGATCCCAGAACAGCCCAGAAAATAGACAATGGTACAAAAGCAGATAGATCCCCCCCCCGCCCGCCATCTTATCTAAGTCCCCTTCACAGAAATTGACTTTGAGGGAAAGGAGCGTATTCCATCCTAGCAAGACACATGGGAGATAAGAAGGCACCGAGGTCCTTAGCGGAATCTTTGCATGCCAGTGATTTGCAAGCTTGAAGCCTGCACGTAGACATGGCTTGTGCCGCATAGATGGCAACAAGAAAATTCGTAAATATGGGAGTTGATGAAATTGAGTTGTAGATGGTGTGGGTGAGGTCAGTCACTTCGGTTGTTGGTGTTTGCACACTCAGATCTTTGCAGAACAGAATCAGAGAAATTTCTCTAAAACCAGACTATATAAATCAGTGTTTAAATATGGAAACAAAACTGTAAATGTAGACGCTATTCATTTGTGAAAACATAATTGGGTTTCTATTGAGTTAATTTCTCTTGGTAATGGTCAGTAACTGCCTATGGTGTGGGTGAGGTCAGTCACTTCCGTTGTTGGTGTTTGCACGCTCAAATCTTTGCAGAACAGAATCAGAGAAATTTCTCTAAAACCAGACTATATAAATCGGTGTTTAAATATGGAAACAAAACTGTAATTGTAGACACTATTCATTTGTAAAAACATAATTGGGTTTCTATTGAGTTCGTTTCTCTTGGTAATGGTCAGTAACTGCCTTCTGCTAAGTGTGTGTCTTCCTGCTGTTGGAAGAAGGTTTTCACTCAGCAGAAGGGAGTCTTGGATGGCAGCCCAATATATTCAGTTTTCAAAATAACACTCACAAGATAAAGAGAAGAAACCTAGTGCTGCTTACTAGTAGGCAGTATCATGTGGACAAGTTTGGAGTCAGGCCACGTATTAAAATGTGACCTGGCTTCCAATCCTGTGCTCATCTTCCTGAGAAGAAGTCCAGTGAACTCCAGTAGTTCTCTGGGAGTGTATTTGTGAACGGTATACAAACAAGGTCATACAGTCTTACCATCTCAGTGCTTTTCTTCCCAATCTAAACGCATTGAATTTGTGTCAACATATGGCTACCAAGATAACTTTTTCATACCATATGTTTATACAAAGTCATCTTCACAGGTGTGTTTGACGAAGAAGTCCAGTGAACTCCAGTAATTCTCTGGGAGTGTATTTGTGAACTGTATACAAACAAGGTCATACAGTCTTACTATCTCAGTGCTTTTCTTCCCAATCTAAATGCATTGAATTTGTGTCAACATATGGCTACCAAGATAACTTTTTTCATACCATATGTTTATACAAAGTCATCTTCACAGGTGTGTTTGACTGCTAACGTATAGAACCTTCTAAGGCATAAGCTTTCCCCAATTTTTGCAGCTTTTGTTGTCATGGATTCATTCTTCCTATAAGATGACAAAGAATTAAACCAATCTTAAATAGCTTGTGAAATTTTAAACAGCTTGTTAAGACAATGGGCTTTTGACCTCCATGTTTTCCCTCTTGTAGGGATTTTCTGGATCTCCTGGGAAGATCTCTGCCAATATTATGATGTTATTTATTTGAGCTGGAATCCAGGTCTCTTTAAAGAATCAACATGCATTCACAGGTTTGTCCAAAGGAAAAAGTTATGAAGTTCTGAGCTTCCAATCTATCTGAAACTTTGTTTTATTAGCAATTCTTAGTCTTTTGTAAGCTTACTTAGCAGCCACTCAAACCTCTTTTCATTCACTGCTTGCATGCTAAATGTATCGCCTGAATTTTGAGACCCTCATTCTTAGCCTAAATGGCATGAGCATTATAGGGTAAATATTTGCTGATATAGTGTCAGCATTCTACAAGCTGAGCCATACCATGAACCTTTTGAACCTTTGCAAGTTGTAGGCACCTGGTTCAGCACCTGATTACTTGGTTTTCATGCAAGGGATAGTGTTTTTCCCAAAAAAATATTTAATAGTTACTGTCAGAATTACAGGGGTCCTCAATGGAAAAATTGTTCATTTTATTGCCGCGTTCTTATGATTGCATGCAGGAGTAAAACGCTGATGTCTTGTCCCCTCTCCGTTCTCTCTTTAGTACTTGGGATGCAAAGCAGGGCCCCGTGAAAGATGCTTACAGCCTTGCTAATAACCCACAGTATAAACTGGAGGTCCAGTGCCCACAAGGTGGTGCTGCAGTGTGGGTTCTGCTGAGCAGACACATTACTGACAAGGTAGGCGTTATTTCTCTGAGGAGCATTGAACTAATCTGCAGGTTGGACCCTGCAGTGTTTCTTCTGCAGGATGGACCCTGGCCAGTGTTTCTTCATTCTCATCTGCACTATTGTTTTAGAGCAGAAAGCATCTCTCTCTGTTCCGCACAGAACAGTGTGCTGGATTCCCCTCCAAGTACCTGACACATTTCCTTTAGCACTGAGCCATGTCTCTTGAGTTGGCACAGAGAGAATGGGTTGTGATCTGGGAGGCTGCCAGCTCGAATCTCTCCTCTGCCATGACCTCACTAGGTGGCTTTAGGCAATCTGTTTTGGCTCATGCCCCCCCCATCCTGTAATAGGGGGTAGTAATACTAGCTTACATTAGAGCTGTCGTAAGAACTACAAGCAGCCTGAATAGCCCAATCTCATCAGATCTTGGAAGCTAAGCAGGGTCAGCCCTGGTCAATATTTGGGTGGGAGACCACCAGTGTCCCCTCTAAGCTGAGTTAGTGTGAGCCAGCTCACAGTTTTTGAGCCTCCAGCTCACACATTTTTGTCTTCGCTCAGGAAAGATGGCTCCAGAGCAAACTAATTTATGCAGTAGCCAAATTGCTTGCTCACAGCTTTAATGCCAGTAGCTCACAAAGTAGAATTTTTGCTCACAAGACTCCACAGCTTAGAGGGAGTATTGGAGACCACCAAGGAAGTCCATGGTTGCTACACAGAGGCAAGCAATGGCAAACCACCTCCGTTTGTCTCTTGCTTTGAAAACCCTGCAGGGTCACCATAAGTCAGCTACGACTTGATGGCACTTTTCAAGGACTACAACAAGATAATCTCTGTAAAGTCCTTTGCCTCTGAAGACGGATTATTCTCTCAAATAATCAGTTTGGTGCCAGTGGTTAAGAGAGCCAGTTTGGTGTAGTGGTTAAGTGTGCGGACTCTAATCTGGGAGAACCGGGTTTGATTCCCCACTCCTCCACTTGCACCTGCTGATGTGACCTTGGGTCAGTCACAAGCTCTGGCACAGCTGTCCTTGAAAAAGAGCAGTTTGTGTCAGAGTTCTCTCAGCCCCACCCACCTCACAGGGTGTCTGTTGTGGGGAGGGGAAGGGAAAGGAGTTTGTAAACCGCTCTGAGACTCCAAGTGAAGGGCGGGGTATAAATCCAATCTCTTCTTCAAAATAAAGCTGTCCAAGTGTGAGACTGAAGTACCCCTATCAACAGTTTCGGAAACTTTAAGTCATATCAAAACATAGGGCTTTTTGTAAATAGCTAAAAATAGTCAAAGGAGCTGCGGTGGCTCAAGTGGTTAAGACGCTGAACTGCAGGCTGTGGAAGATCAGTAGTTCAGCAGTTCGAGACCCAAGTGACGCAAGACGGGGTGAGCTCCTGTCTCTGGTTCCAGCTCCTGCCAACCTATCAGTTCAAAAGCAAGAAATTGCAAGTAGATAAATAGGTACCACTTCGGTGGGAAGGTAACAGCGTTCCGTGCACCTTGGTGTTTAGTCATGCCGGCCACATGACCATGGAAACGTCTTCGGACAGCGCTGGCTCTTCGGCTTTGAAACGGAGATGAGCACCACAACCCTAGAGTCGGACTCGATTGGCTTTCGAGCAAGGGAATCTTTACCTTTACTAAAAATAGTCAAATCCAGTGCTCATTAGAAAAGGAATAGCGACCAAGACAAATTTGTTTTATGAAGTTTATTGGGGTAATCATATTTTTGTAATCTCTGTTCCATAGGATGACTTTGCACACAACAAGGAGTTCATCACCATGGTGGTGTATAAAACAGACGGGAAAAAAGTCTACTATCCTGGTTCGTATGTCAGCATCCCAACGAACTCCTTGTATTAATGAGAAGTTTCCAAAATATTAAAAGTTCATTGCTGGAGGGAATGAATGAATGAAACCCTTTTCTGATAAGTGTTTTGCCTGCCTGGATTCCGTGATTATTTTTTATCTCACAGCTTTGAAAGTCATTAAGAAATTGGTTCTGTGGTTGTGTCCTCAGACTGCAATAAATCCTAACCATGTTCTCTGTTGGCGGAAGACCCTTCCACCTGAAAAAAGGGGGAAGCAATTTTGACAAGTCCCCTTTCCCATTTCACTGCCAACACTGACTTCACCAACACTGAGAGCCAGTTTGGTGTGGTGGTTAAGTGCGCGGACTCTAATCTGGGAGACCCGGGTTTGATTCCCCACTCCTCCACTTGCCCCTGGCTGGATGACCTTGGGCAAGCCGTAGTTCTGATAAGAGCTGTTCTTGAAAAAGAGCAGTTTCTGTCAGAGCTCTCTCAGCCCCACCTACCTCACAGGGTGTCTGTTGTGGGGAGGGGAAGGGAAAGGAGTTTGTAAGCCACTCTGAGACACCTTTGGGTAGTGAAGTGCGGGCTATAAATCCAATCTCCTCCCCCTCCCCAGCATGATTTCTTGTAGGTACAGCAGAATGTGTTGGATGGGAAGAGGTGGGAAGGTTGGTTTCCACTCATACTAGACAAACTCCCAACTATTAGATCCGCTTCATAGACACATAGATACAGCCTCATAGAAATTTGTTGGGGGGCAGGCTTTCTGTAGGAGCTGCGGTGGCTCAAGTGGTTAAGACGCTGAACTGCAGGCTGGGGAAGGTTGGTAGTTCAGCAGTTCGAGACCCAGGGTGCCGCATGACGGAGTGAGCTCCCGTCTCTAGTTCCAGCTCCTGCCAACCTAGCAGTTCGAAAGCAAGAAATTGCAAGTAGATAAATAGGTACCGCTTTGGTGGGAAGGTAACAGCGTTCCGTGCGCCTTGGTGTTTAGTCATGCCAGCCACATGACCACGGAAACGTCTTCGGACAGAGCTGGCTCTTCGGCTTCGAAACGGAGATGAGCACCGCAACCCTAGACTCGGACTCGATTGGCTTTAGAGCAAGGAAAACCTTTACTTTTTTAGGGTTTCTGTGTGTTGCTGTACCATTGGAGTTACTAAACGAACTTCCCCCTACTTGTATGAAGTTTTCAAACCCAAATCTATCGATCTCTTCCCTTTCAGCTGATCCTCCACCATTCATTGATGGGATACGGATCAACAGTCCCCATTATCTGACTAAGATAAAGCTGACCTCCCCTGGAACCCACACGTTTACTTTGGTGGTTTCTCAGTATGAGAAACAGAACACCATTCACTATACCCTGAGGGTAAGTACTGATGGGTGGTGGTTGTCACAAGTACTTTCTTTACGACTGCATTGGGGGGGGAAAGAGAGCTTACTAGGGAGGGCTGTTCTCACTTGGCAGAGGTGGGTAGGCAAGTGGTTTATTTGCATGCTTTTTTACAGAGAGTACATTGTGGAGTTGTTTAGTTCTTTGTGTTGGACGAGAAGCTTAGTGCAATATTGCCAGTAGACCTGCTTTAACAAAAAGATATAAAATGTCTCAGTCCATTGTGTGGTGGTGGGGTCCTCTGGCTGTAGCATGAAGACAATCATATCCATGTCCCCACGTGGACAGAAAGTCCCTTCCACACATGTAAAGTCCCTTCTATACACGGAGGGGCCATGGCTCAGTGGCTGAGAATCTGCTTGGCATTCAGAACATTCCAGGTTCAGTCCCCAGCATCTCCAGTGGGAGGTGATGTGAAAGACCTCTGCCTCAGACCCTAGAAAGCTGCTGCCAGTCTGAGTAGACTTCGATGGGATTAGTGGTCTGATCCAGCATAAGGCCACTTCATGTGTGCAGTGCCTTTGAGATGCCCATTGGCTTTCAGTCTGCCTTCAAGTGTTGTATTTTGGCAGAAGCCAGAAGCTTCAGTAAAAACTAGTGAAACTTGTTAGAGAAGTTCTCACATGTCCCAGAATCCATTTGATTGTCCACTTGGGTGTTTCTTGGGGACCAGAATAGAGATGGGAGGAAGCTGCTTATTCAACCACTGGCGTTAAGTACGCAGAGACTGTTCATCCTGTGCCTGTACTGGCACATCCAGTCCATAGGGCTGGAGTTCTTTTTCAGCAAGATCAACTGCTTCCATTGGATAAGTCATAAGCATTTTTTTAATAGCCCCATTGCCTCTGGAGGATCAAGAGAGGATGGCGCTGTGGGCAAAACTGGTGCCCTTCTGAGTACAGCTGGCCAAAAATGGTGGACGATTATCTGGAATGCCCTTTCTCTGAGGGCTTGAGATCAGCAGATCATCCCTTTCTTAGGTAGAGATAAGCCTTCTGTTCCCTTCTTTTCTTGCAGCATTTGAGAAGGTATTTTTAGGGCTTCTGCTTATATAAGTTATGCAAAAGTTAATGTGTGTGTTTGCAGAAATTTGCATAGACGTGGGAAGTGTTTTTCTATAATAATGAACAAACAAAATTATATGGCTTCATCTCCATTTTGGCACTTTTTTATTTTCTTACTTGGCTGACAATCCCAAACAACTAACCCTTTCGCTGATTTCATGATATATACTTTTTAAAAAATTTCTTCAGGTGTATTCAGTGTGCAAGTTTACCTTCTCAAAGATCCCGACACCATATACCATTTCCAAACGGGTAAGCAATAATTAAATACATGGTCATCTTCTTGATGAATGCAATTTATCCGCAGATGCACCTATACAATACAGTGCAAGTTTCTCTCTGTTTTTAAGGGTCTTTGCAAATCATCAGGATTAGTCCTAGCTGTCATAAATAACTACTGAGGTGGAATTTCAGCTCCATTCATCCTTTGATCACTCTGAACCATTTGAGTAGTCATTTTTTTTTCTACCTCCATAACGTCTCTTCCCATGGCTAGCATTGTTTGGGTCCATCCAGGTTGTAAAGGCAAAAAGGCAAGCTCCAGCTGAGCATTCTTTTTCTTTTTTTTCTTTTTTCTTTTTTGAAAGACTGTTGTAATTGAAACAGTTCAGATGGCTCAGGAATCGTGTGTTGCCCTTACAGCCAGTTTGGTGTAGTGGTTAAGTGCGCGGACTCTAATCTGGGAGAACCGGGTTTGATTCCCCACTCCTCCACTTGCACCTGGCTGGATGACCTTGGGCAAGCCATAGCTCTGATAAGAGCTGTTCTTGAAAAAGAGCAGTTCCTGTCAAGAGCTCTCTCAGCCCCCACTGTTTGCCATCTATTGTTACATTTTATGCTGCCTATTTTTAAGTGAACTATTATATTGTATATCTAAAGCTGCTGAACTTGCTAGCGCCTGAGAGATTTTTCTGCTGTTTATGTTGTGGTACTTCATTGTGGAGCTGCGGTGGCTCAAGTGGTTAAGACGCTGAACTGCAGGCTGTGGAAGGTCAGTAGTTCAGCAGTTCAAGACCCGGGTGCCGCATGATGGAGTGAGCTCCCATCTCTAGTTCCAGCTCCTGCCAACCTAGCAGTTCGAAAGCAAGAAATTGCAAGTAGATAAACAGGTACCACTTCGGTGGGAAGGTAACAGCGTTCCGTGCGCCTTGGTGTTTAGTCATGCGGGCTACATGACCACGGAAACGTCTTTGGACAGCGCTGGCTCTTCGGGTTTGAAACGGAGATGAGCACCGCAACCCTAGAGTCGGATTCGACTGGCTTTCGAGCAAGGGAACCTTTACCTCTACTTCATTGTACTGTGTTTTATTTTTTTAAACAACCCCGAGAATGAAAGATGGACTGAAAAAACATGGTACAGATACCTAGGCTAAATAAAAGCAGTTTTTAAAAGATTTTTATAGAATTATGTTCTGAAAAGAACTTGGTAGCTTAGTCTGGACAGAAGTCCTGTGGCACCTATAAGACTAACAACATTTAGTCCAGTCCGAGCGTTTGTGAGGCAGAGATCATTTCCTCAGCTACAATATGATCTCCTACTGTATCTGAAGTGAGCTCTGTCTCATGAAAACTCATACTAGAATAAACAATAGAATGACGTTTGAGTCCAGTCGCACCTTTAAGACCAACAAAGTTTAATTCTGGGTATCTGAAGAAGTGTGCACGCACACAACAGCTTATACTCAGAATTGAACTTTGTTGGTTTTAAAGGTTCCACTGGACTCAAACGTCATTCTGTTGTTTCAGACCAACATGGCTACCCACCTCAATCTGGAATAAATGTTGTTAGCTTTAAAGGTGTCACTGTATTTCTGTTTTGTTTGCTACAACAGACTAACACAGCTACTCTGCTTAACAGTCCAGATCCTGTACTAGATGCACCTTGAGTTACCATTCACTCATTTTGCAAGAGAACACATACTCTGTAGACATACCAAGAACTGGACCTGAAATCTAATGTGCTGGGGAATAAACTTGACTTTGACATTTATGCTAGTGAGGAAAAGGGGCTTGTTGTATGTTAAAGAGTAACTAGGAATTTCAAGAATAGAACATAGTGTGCATTCTTTTTAAAAAAACCAAAAACCTCTGGCTTACTCTTCCATAGGTGAACGGGCAGTGGAAAGGTCACAGTGCTGGCGGATGTGGGAATTTTAGAGACAGCTACAAGAACAATCCTATATACCAGTTCCAGCTGGACAAGACTGGGCCGCTTCTGATTGAGCTAAGAGGACCGAGGTTAGCAGAGATTTAAGCCAGTGCCACAATAAAATGTGTAGCCTGTTCAGACATTACGGCAGCTTGGTGGGTAACTTGCTCTGCTGTTCCTAGTGTTACACAAAGGATTTTCTCTGTGTGTGCTGAGTGGCAAAGAGCAGGACAGTAAAGCCCTGCCCCTCTGTTGCTGCTAAGAGTTAACCAGCCATTGCCCTTATCCCTGCCAATAAGAACTTTTCAGAAGAAACAAAAGACAATATTCAGTAGTAGCAAAGTTTGTACTTCCATAGCAAATGCATAGAATCATGGAATTGGGGGGGGGGGTCAACAGTGGGAGGGCTTCTGGTGTCCTGGCCCCACTGCTGGACCTCCTGATGGTACCTGGTATTTCTGGCCACTGTGTGACAGAGTGTTGGACTGGATGGGCCACTGGCCTGATCCAACATTGGCTTCTCTTATGTTCTTAATATGCATGAAGCTGCCCTGTACTCCATCAGGACGTCAGTCCCTCAAAGTATTGCCTACTCAGAATGGCAGCAGCTCTCCGGGGTCTCAGGCAGAAGTCTTTCTCATTGCCTGCTGCCTGATCCTTAACTGGAGATGCCAGGGATTGAACCTGGGACCTTCTGCATGCCAAGCAGCTGTTCTGCCACTGAGCCACGTCCCCTCCCAATGCACACAACTCCGTAAGATGAATAAGATGAAGGTTGGTATCCATCGTACACTTTTCTAGAGCTGCTTGTGACCAAAAGATAGTGAAAATGTCTGATCTTATTTGTAGGCAGTACAGTGTGGGCTTTGAAGTTGTGATGATCTCCACCGTAGGAGACCCAGGCCCGTCAGGCTTTCAGAAGAAGAACAGCGGTGACTACAGGTAAGGATGATCCTATTTGATCCTGTATGTCTTCTTGATTTGTATTATGGGAGACCTTGTATTAATGCTTACCTTTTGTCCTTCCCCCCCAGGTGTGGATTTTGTTACCTGGAAATCGAGGTGGTACCTGCTGGCATTTATAATATTATTCCAAGTACCTTCCTCCCTCAACAGGAAGGGCCCTTTTTCTTGGACTTCAACAGCAGTTCTACGCTTAAGGCGTCGCAGTTGCAGTGAGGCAGCCCGGAGTGGTTCTTCTCAGACACGGCAGAGCTGAGGCAGCGTGCCAGACGCTTCGCAGGAGAGCCAACAAAGAGGAAAGCACTTAACTGGAGATGCACTTTTTTAATATAAAGTTCTCCCTCAGAGTGGTGGTCCAGACCATTCCCTCAAAGCAGAGGGGGAAGCACGAGATGGACCGGCTTCTGAATACTGACAAACTTGAGAGCAGGCAAGGAGAGTGCTTGAACGACGATCTTAACCTTATTCTTGTTGGTGTAATTAATGTATAAGAGTATAGCACTTTATATTTTTATCATCGAGGTTTGGGGTTTTTTGAAGCATCTCCGTCTTCGTCCTGTCAGCCCCCCCGTGTTTAAGCCTTCTTTTCAAATACATGGTGGCATTGCTCTGGTCATTTGTCTCTCTCTGGGAATGGAAACATTTCCTGTCACCCGCAACAGAGGCTACCAACTTCTGGTACCTGCAGCAAGAGAGTGATACCACCCAGGCGGGTGGCGAGTTGCTGCCTGTGCTTTTCAGTGCCAAAAACCATACCAGCAAGATGGGGGAGGGCCACATATGCAGTACAGTGCTCACCAGATGACTTTATAGGTGGCACACTGGCTCCTTTTCGGGTAGCTGCAAGTTACATTCTTGTCTGCCCCAAGCAAGCTGGGAAGGAGGCAGATGAACCTCATATATGTACACTTCTAGACGAGGGTATCACTCAGTTTATAATCTGTTTCACTGGCTTCTTTCAGACAAACCCTGCACCCTTTCCCCACAGTACGTCTGTGTTTAAGGAAACTGTTGTTCTTGCTCATAAGTGTGCACGTTGTACAGCTTCGTTACGGCGATGTTCCTCACAACCTGACAGTAAAAGATTGCTTTTCAGTATAATCTCAAGTGATAGGTGCCTTTGAACGGAAATATTAAATCATGTGCTCTGTAATTGCTGTGCTGTGATGGGCCATCTGGGCTAGTGGGAACTGCAGCCTGCTGGGAGCTTGCCAGCAATTTGCAGCTTATCTGCTTTGCAGGGTAATTAGTGAGATGAAAGTTACAGCTGGAGCCTTGACAGCAAAGAAGTCAACAGTACGGAGACTGGTGGGCAACCGCTGCTTTAATATGTCTGAGCCTCTTTACGATCATAGAATGCATTCACTGTAAGGGTAACTATGGGTCTAATAGGTGGTTTCACAGATATTTTGCTGCATTTACACACCGTACGAATACTTAATTGGTCCTGGCATTTTAGTGTGTATGTTTTGCATGATACTGGGCATGCCCCTGGTTTTGTGCCTGTGTCCTAGAGCAGTGATTGGGAATATAACGGGCACAGCCAAGCACGTATGGCCATGAGTATGGCCAGTGTTCACTACAAAAATACAAGGCCTCCACTCAGTGCCTTCTAAGTTAACCAAGAGTCATGTCAGCAATGCACACCTAGCTACTGAGGCTTTCTTCTAGAACCTTTGTTTTATGCTACATTTCAAATGAAGAACCTCATTTAAGCATGATCAGTGGCACCACAAAAGACCAGCAGTGAAACCAGAGTGTGTTACAGTATACTGCATATCCTGTGGTGTCATTCTGCAGCTAGCCTTAAGAAGAGAAGACTAACAGGAATAGCTGCACTGTTCAGATACATAAAGGGCTGTCAAATAGGATAGGGCGAGGGCTTGTTTGCTGTAGGGGACAACACTAAGTCTAATGGGTGTAAATTAAGGGCAGTAGCTCCCAGTTGAACAGTTAAAACCCCCCCCCATTACTGGGGGAGGGGGCTGGCCAGCCTTGCCTCACCCTCATTGGAGGTTTTTGAGCAGAGGCTAGGCACCCAACAGGAATTCAGGCTATTAAGGTCTTTTCCTGTGCGGTGATCTAGTAGACGCTGAAGCAGAAAGGTGTACTACAGGAGACTGCTTTCAGGAGTTGCACAGTTTTTATTTTTAGGTCCCATTCACACACAGCAACCAACCATCTTATTGATGGGGAAGAGAAAGTAGTCATAGTGCTCTGGCCTTAGCTAGTATTTGGAAGGGCAACCTCCAAGGGCTACCAGGGTTGTGATGCATAGGCAGGCAATGGCAAACCACCTCTGAAATGTCTCTTGCCTTAAAAACATGACTAGCTCACCACCTGGTGGTGCATAATGCTAAAAGAGCTAGAACTAGCAGTGTTCCCTCTAAGCTGAGTTAGCGTGAGCTAGCTCAGAGTTTTTTAGCCTCCGGCTCACAGATTTTTGTCTCGGCTCAGGAAGGGCGGCTCCAGAGCAAACAAGTTTATGCAGTAGCCAAATTGCTCGCTCACAACTTTAATGCCAGTAGCCCACAAGGTAGATTTTTTGCTCACAAGACTCCACAGCTTAGAGGGATCATTGACAGAGAGGCCTTTCCAGGAGAGACCTCAGCCATGCAGACTGTTGGTCCCACCTGGCACACACTGTGGCACAGCTCCTGAAAGGAACTGCATGGCTAGAATGCAGATATCGACTGAACATCCAATTCTGTTGCATTTTCAATAAAGAGAGGGAAATACATGAATGACTCCATGAAGGTGCTTTAATACAAGCTCTGCGATGTAGAATTGACAAATGACCATAGCAGGCACCACTAGCAAAACTAGTTCAGGACAGGTAGAATGGCTTATTGTCCCAGGGTGTGCAGAAGTACTATGTAGAGTTACACATTCCAGGTGTCACTGGACTGCAAACAGATACTGTATGTTTCTCTGAATATACCACAAGAGCCACAGTCAAACTTTAGTTTTCACTTTTATTACTTATTCCATTTGGCACTCGCAAAATTCATTTCCTTGACTGAAGTGGACGGTCAAAAGCACAAATGGAAGGCAGGGGTATAGATCTTAGAACAACCACTGACTTGAGGAACAAGTATAAAAGGGTTTTTCTAAAGCATTAAAAACACACGTTATGACCATACTACACATGAAAACAAAATTAAGAGTGGCAGAACAGTTTACTGTAGTGTAAATGTTTTTACATTTGTTCTTAGAATAGATATACAAGCTATAATAGGGACAAAATACAAGATTGTAGGCCAGGAATCAATAGGGGGGAGCGCGGGGAGATGCTAAACACAAACTAAAATAATAAGTTAGGTCTATGAGAGGTGGCAAATCACTTTTTAAAAATCCTACTTTTTAAACTACCTCTTATTAGCGAAACTACTCGACTTCTCTACTCTAACAGCTATTGCTGAAGCATGCCCCAGACTCCTTCCAGTCTTTATTCAGCTGTTAAGTTCAAGGGATGCAACCATTACCGGTCCCGTTAAATAGTCTAAAAGCCCCTATACATGACGACTTACAGAAATTCTCTAACTTGCAGAGATGCTATCCCTTCATGCATATCTCCCTTCATCCTTTACTTGGTAGGCCCAAGGTTTTAAAATATTTTCCTATCCATGCCTAAATGAGGTGTCAAAATCACAATACTGAAGTGCTGGAAAAAAGTGTCACACACAATGATAAAAACAGTCACATGTACAATTTCATTCTGATGGCTGGATTCGGAATTTCACCCCATGCCAATCCAAATCTCAAATGCTACACAGGTCACGGATCTGGCATTCTTTTTAAAGGTTACCTTCAAGGTATGTCTCCCCTCGTCACTTGCAAGCTGTGGAAGCAGAGCAAAGGTTTCCAGATTTGCTACATGGAACTGCTTCCTGTCACAGTCTGCAGTACAACAGTTCTGCCATTTTGATCATAATGCAGACACGTAAAATACGGTGTATTTTAAGAGGATATGCCACCGGCACCTCCGAATTCAACTCTGTCTACACAGCAGCCCAGTTCACAAAATGGATAACCACAAAAAAAAAAAAAACCAGATTCCAGCGACTCCGAAACGTTTCGCTCGTCCTTCAGCTCCCGAGTGGCACAGAACTCCATATGAGGGCACAGTCCTCATTATTGCTTCTGCCAAACTGCTACAAAACACGTCACAAAGGCTGTGAGCTAAAACAAGCACAGCCAATAATGTGTAACAGATTTCTGTCATGACTTTCTTTTTAAAAAACACACATAACTTGAGCCCTCAACACTGATGTAACTCTTAGTGCAGTTTAAGGAGTAAACGCTTAAAAGATTTGGCATATATTAAATAGTTATTGGCACAAGGTTCTTCTGACGTTCAGAAGAGGTTTGTGTAGAAATAATTTAGGATTTCTTTTGAGCTCCAAATGGGACAGGAGTTCAACCGATCTGCACTGTTTTTCTGTCCGCACAAATCCCATCGTTGACTTTCAAACACTGAAGGGAAAGCTGCTTCATCCGGTTATCCAGTGTTGGCCCGGTGGAAGAAAAGCTGGTACTGCTGCTCCTGTTCTTATTCACTTTGTCAAGAGTTTGGTTCTCTGCCCCTTCCGCCCGATCTCCTGTGAAGTCAAAATGGAAAAGTTAAGCCGCTTAAATTTAAACTAAAGTCATTTTACTACAACAGATTAAATTGACTTGCCTCCTTTGGAATGTAAACAGACATCAACATCACTCTTACCAGTTCAAGCCTAATGAATACAGTGATGTTTCTTCCCTCCTCCACCCATTCATCTTGGGAAATTTGGGACAGGACTGAGCCAGTTTGGTGTAGTGGTTAAGTGCGCGGACTCTAATCTGGGAGAACCGGGTTTGATTCCCCACTCCTCCACTTGCACCTGGCTGGATGACCTTGGGCAAGTTGTAGTTCTGATAACAGCTGTTCTTGAAAAAAGAGCAGTTTCTGTCAGAGCTCTCTCAGCCCCACCTACCTCACAGGGTGTCTGTTGTGGGGAGGGGAAGGGAAAGGAGTTTGTAAGCCGCTCTGAGACACCTTCGGGTAGTGAAGGGCGGGGTATAATCCAATCTCTTCATCTAATTTACTTAATGACATCCCAATTATATACGACTGTGTCTTTAACATACAACTTGGGAAATGCAACCAACTGTTCCTCCATTCAGAAGTGCTAACTGTACTAATAATTTGATCCATCCACTGACCAGTTTAAGAGAAAGAGTCCTAGCTCCAAACAAATGCCCCTCTAGTCCAGCATTCTGTCTCTAAAGGTTACCACTCAGACGTTCCTTGGAAAGTCACAAATAGAACACAATGGTGACACAGCTATCCTGATTTATCTCCAGTACATGGTAACCTGAGCTATGTTGCCTATAAACATGGAGGCTTCAGTTTTATCTGTGATGGTCAACAATTGCTGCTAGACCCCGGGCCCCATGAGTTTGTCTCGTAGTTATAAAACTAAAACCAAAAACTAAATAAATACCGTGTGTGAATGAATCCCTCGGCTTAACTAGGCATTGCGTAACAAAACACAATCCTGAACCTATTGGCAACAAATTTCATTTGATGAACCCTATTTCTTTTTCATTACTGTTTTCACCACAGAAGTCATAAACAGTGAGTCATCACACACTGAAAGGGAAGCTTAAGATTTACTAACTGAGCTTCATGATTTTACTACAGCCGCCAAAATTGAACCACATGCTAAAGTTACTTGTTTGTCTGGACCCTATTTCATTGTCTTCAGAATATTTAATTGCTATACACTCAAACTCATCATAAGTCTTTCTTCAAAATGACGATCCAACTGCTTGATTGTTTTAGCTGCCCTTTTCTACACCCTCCTCCTCCTGTACTAAAGGCTTCCATTTTGCAATGGGGTGACCAGAACTGTGCACTCATAGCCATGCTACAGGTTTATCGAATGGCCCTGTGGCTCCTAATGTTTTATCCTGAGGTCCAGCTGCAAGCTATGTTGCTGCATCCAGCAATACCTAATCACCTTTCCTGCTCACTTCGTGAAGTGGGGCCCCCAACTCACCATGGGTCCCATTTGGGGTTCCACACAAAGGGGAGAGTCAGTGGGACATCAGGTGGCCATGTCCTGCAAGACAAGATGGGCTGCACGGGCAGCTAGGGGGCTGGGCAGTAACAATGGTGGGAAAACCTGGCCCTCACCCTCCCAGGTGGGCCTCTGATGGGGCCTGAACTGGGCCACCAGGGGAGTCTCACCTTCGCTACTCTCTCCCCTTCTCTAGGTGCTGGGACTGCAAAAGTCCTTCCTCCTTGTCATGATCCAGACTGGGAATGGATGGCATCTTTTTTAGTTCTCATAAGGTTGGGGCTTAGGAGACAATAGGCTTGCCAAGTTCCCCCGGGGGGCAGGGAAACCCCCGCCCCAGAGGCCCGTTCCCCGCCGGTGGCGGATCGGGCCCCGGGGGGAACTCCACCCCCAAAGCACGGGACGTGTCCGGCATCAGCACGTCACCCGGAAGTGACGCAGCCACACCGGGCGCGCCGGGGGCGGGGCCACGGTCATCCGAGGGAAAACTCTATGTTTCCCCCTTGGGTGACCGCGGCCCCGCCCCTGGTGTGCCCAACGTGGCTGCGTCACTTCCGGGTGACGTGCTCGTGGTGCGTGCTTCGGGCACGCGCACTCTCCTGGAGCGAGCCGGGACTCCCCCGCTGTGGCTTAAGGTACGACTTGGCAACCCTAGGTGACAATCAGATTGTGATGGGGACAAAGACTGTGTGTGCATAGGTAGTTGAAGACTTTAAGCAGTGTGGGCCCTCTTTTCATCTCTATATCAGCCTCGCAAGCTATGTGATGCCACAAAGATACCATCTGCAGGATTAGATGTGGAGAATCTTAAGGGAACCATTTGTCTGTGCCACAGGATTTCAGCTGTTTTGCTGTTTCATGTTTCAGCACAAAAATAGTATATGATGCTCCCAGGTAGATAAGCCTCTAAGCAAATCCTAGTCACACCATACTGCTGCTTCAAGAAACCAACAAATGCATTTGGGAGAGTGATGCAAATGTGGTTTTTGAACTTCCAATATAACACCTGAAGAGGGATGCACAGGCATCAATTACCGGCACAACACGTACACAGTGAAGATGCTGCCTCGACCATGGCCAGGGCCTTTTCAGCTGTGGCCACTGCCTGGTGGAACATGCTCCCAGTTGAGATCAGGGCCCTGCGCGATTTGTCACAATTCTGCAGGGCCTGCCAAACGGAACTGTTCCGCCAGACCTTTGGCTGAGGCGGCAGATGTCCAAATGACACCAGCCTTCCCTGTTTAATTCAGTCAATCTCCTCAATCTGATTCATTTGCTTAGGGCACTATCTACACCAACTTGATGTTCGTGCCAGCTGACCCTGGTTACTTGAGAGAAACATGCCCTCCCTGACATGGTTGCAGCATGAATTTAAGCTGCCATCGGGTATCATTTTAAGTAACATATTTAGATGACATGATTTGATGTTTTTATGAATTATTTATTGTTCTTATCATATCTTGTGAGCCTCCCTGAGCCCGCTTGCAGGGTAGGATGGAATATAAACTGAATAAAATTAATAAATGTTGTGTCGCTGTCCTTGCTGGATGCTGCACTGGAAGCACAGAAGGCAAAATGCACAAACTGTTTGCGTGTCCCCTCTCTTGCCGTCTCCAAAGCTACCCTAAGATTATACTGTAACTGGTTCTGTCTGAACACGGGAGATTAACCTTTGAGCCTGAACTTCTCAGAAACAAATTAAGGAACAAACACAGCAGCAGGCTTTCTCCAGCAACTGCACAACTTTCTACTGCCGCACATATTTAAATCCAAACCGCAGCAGGTCAACCAAGAGTTTCTTATTCCAATCCTTTTCTTTTTTTACAGCTGTGATCAATGGTCTTGGTAACAGGTATGCTTTCAAAATTACTTTTGTTACTTCACTCAGCAACAAATCTGTCATCTTTCCATGTTCCAGCTATTAGACACAGCCCATCCTTGCCAGATTTGTGACCTATTTTGAGATAGAATTCCCATGATCAGTAGAGCAGACACACTAAATAAATCACCTGCTTCTGGAAATCTCTTGCGGCACAAGTCCAAAACCTCATCTTTAGCTTTAGTTGATGAGTTAAGGGTTTCCTACACATTAATGGACTGCATTAAAGCTCTAGTCATAGAATGATTTCACGCTACAAACAAAGGGAGGCTGATATTGCAGGTTGACATGAGACCATCTCCCAGCATCAAGATCTGGGGAGGGGGGGGGGCTCACAGGATGAGAACAGGAGACCAGGCAGGTCAATAAGACTCGAAAGAGTCTGATCTGATTCATACTTGATGCAGAACAAAAGGAAAGGTGCTTACCTTCGTTTAAATGTCACCTGTTTAAATGTACTTATCACCTGTGCCAACCCATATGCAGATGGATGCTCTGCTGGCAAGCTGATGCTTATATGGCATATGGGCCAGCATGGTATTGTAAGCATATAAACCTGGCAGGGGTGAGAGGTGGACACAGAGTGCTTCTACTGGTAAGCCCTTTCTCCACTATGACCATATGCATCATGTGCACATTGGGCTTGAAGCATGACTGCAACATAGATACATTCAGAACAAAGCATGATGGCAAAGACACAGAACAGTGTAGGTGAGGGCGATAATGTTCATAAAATCATAAAGTTGGAAGGGATCTCCAGGGTCATATAAGTCCACCCCCCTGCATAATGCAGGGAATTCACAAATACCTCCCAGAAGATGGGGGGGGGGGGAACCCTCCAGGATCCCTGGCCAAACTGGCCTGGAGAAAAATTGCTTCCTGACCCCAAAGTGGCAATCAGCATTTCCCTGGGTGTGTAAGAAAGGGCCATGAGAACTAAGCACTGAGGCAACCCTTCCTGCCCTCCCTCTCATGATCTGCCTAAGTTCACAGAATCGCTATTGCTGTCAGATGGCCATCTAGTCTCTGTTTGAAAACCTCCAAAGAAAGAGAACCCACCACCTCCCAAGGAAGCCTGTTCCACTGAGGAACAACTCGAACTGTCAGGAAGTTCTTTCTAATGTTTAGCCAAAAACTTTTTTTATTTAATTTCAACCTGTTGGTTCTGGTCCGGCTGTTTGGGGCAACAGAAAACAACTCCACACCATCCTCTATACAACAGCCCTTCAAGTACTTGAAGATGGTTATCATATCACCTCTCAGTCATCTCTTCTCCAGGCTAAACATACCCAGCTCCTTCAACCCTTCCTCACAGGACTTGGTCTCCAGACCCCTCACCATCTTCGTTGCCCTCCTCTAGACACGTTCCACTTTGTCTATCTCCTTAAATTGTGGTGCCCAAAACTGAACACAATACTCCAGGTGAGGTCTAACCAGAGCAGAGCAAAGTGATACCATCACTTCACGTTATCTGGACACTATACTTCTGTTGATACGGCCCAAAATCACATTTGCCTTTTTAGCTACCGCATCACACTGCTGACTCATGTTCAGTATACGGTCTACGAAGACCCCTAGATCCTTTCCGCACATACTACTGCCAAGACAAGTCTCCCCCCTCCTATAATTATGCATTTGATCCTTTCTACCTAAATGCAGAACTTTATATTGATCAGGCCCATGTACGTGGAGCACCCAGAGGCACCTGGTGAAACAACCAATGAGACTGCAGACAGGCTTGCTAATGCCGACCTTTAAGAACTTTCCCCTTATTATAAAAATTAGTATAAAATGGCTGTCACAATAACTAGCAAAACGGTAAAGCATTTGAAAGCCAATAAAAACAGATTGTGCTTTATGTGCCTGAACAGCAAGCCAGCCCACATCATCTCTAAAAGGCATCTTTAGACTAATTAAAAAAATATATATTCTCCCAACCTCTTGAAAGTGCACAGCTGGGAGGAGGAGGGAGTTCTCATGACAGGGAGTGCCACCAAGAAGGCAGTGCTGAAAATCCTGCTTCCCACCACCCATCTTCCCACTATCAATGATGGAGCCCAAAACAGAGCCTCACCTGAAAATCTTGAGGCTCTGGATGGAGCTCTCCCATGGGGAGAAGCATAAAGAGAAGGATCTTTCAGATGCAGTTAGGAAAGGGAGTGTTGGAGTTTGCCATTAGCAATTTTATAGGCGAGCAATGGCTGGCACTCTAAACCAAACCCAGCTTGGCTCTAATGATCCAACTTACCTCTTTCAATTTCACATTCGGGAGAGGAAGCCCCACTGCATTCACTTCGAGGTCCCAGTAGTGGAAACATTCCAAACTCGGATAGTGAGACAGGGCTGGAGAGATCCAGGCTTCTAGGCCGCACCACTGGGAGAAACTGTGCTGGCATGTCCAAAGGGCTTGTTGGACCTGAACTAAGACTGGATACGGACTGGGTTTCAGAGTCTTCTTCAGACACAAAGCTGTTGCAGTTATCATCTTCAAAAACTTCTGAAGCCACTGTGTGAACATTCAAAGGTTATGTTAATTAGCAAGAATAGTATCCTGTCCAGCGCAAGCTGTGCTAAGCCAATGCTCTCTAGGTGTGAGTCAACGGCACGACTACTGAGGAGAGCTAAATCATCTTTATTTAACTTCACACGCATTCAGAAGATCATTTACTCACAATCGACCAGATTAGTTTCCCCCTCAGTACCTACACCTCTGGCGGGACTTACACTATGCCACTCAACTATCTACAAAGAGTGAAGTTACAGAACAGTACTGGTGACTCCCATTCAAAACTGACAACACTTTTTCTTATCCCATAAGGCCAGCTATTGGAAAAGAGGGGGAAACTGAGGGAATTAAGGGCCGTCTGTGTGGTATAGACAGTAACATGTAGTTTGGAGAATGTTTTCATGTGGAAGCTTCTGTGGACCTCAACATGGTAGCAGGAGGAACAAGATCAAAAGCTGTAAGCAATTTGTGTAGGGGAGGGGGGAACTGAACAGGAGGACTTCGTGCCTCCCTGTTTCTGCAGCTCAAAATGCTGCCCAATGGGGACAAGTAAATCCAGAAACAGCATGAGGGGCCAAATGGGGGCTCGCAGTGGAGGAGCTGTTCCCATCTGTTAGTGGAGCTCTACTGGCCCTCTTTGTGTCTCAGGACAGCTCTTCATACCATGGCCCGGATCCAGGGGTAATTGCCACTAACAGAAGGACTTCTTGCCTCCCTGTTTCTGCAGCTCAAAATGCTGCCCAGAAACAGCATGAGGGGCCAAACGGGGGCTCGCAGTGGAGGGGCTGTTCCCATCTGTTAGTGGAGCTCTACCACAAGGTTCAACCCCATGTTCTGTGTCAGTGCCAATACCTAAACGCTAAATATAAAGATCCTATATGGACTGGAGCCTAAAACGCATGGTATCTGGGGCCCAATCCTCTTCCCCAACACCACTTCTATGCATTTCTATCAGCAGAGAGATGAACGCACATGTAGCTGCCTCATAGTGAATGAGATCATGGGTGATTTCCCACAAGCGCTGCTCCGCGCTCACTCTTCTCTTTGGCCCGATGGTACGTGTCAATTTCACACAAGCTGCTGCGCGACCGCATTTTGACCCATCTTCGTGCGATTTTCCCCGCGTCTACTCAATCCTGGTTTTTTTAGGACTGAGTAGACGCGGGGGAAATCGCACGAAGCTGCGGGGCAAAATAGCAATATTTTAAATTTTGTACTTACCTTGGTTAGAGGTTTAAAAGAGTTATATTGTTATAATAACTTGGTAAATAAGCTTGACAAATACAAGCTATGAATAGTTATTGTCATATTTATATACCTCAATTTTCCATTACTAGCTTACACTGTATTTGAGAGATGCTATATTGTATTTGTTTATTCTTTATTGCGTTTGTGGATTGTTGTTGTATAGATTAAAATTTAAAAATAAATTTTATTTTTTAAAAAGGTCAGTATTGTCTACTCAGACTGACAGCGGCTCTCAGAGGGGTCTTTCACATCGCTTACTGCCCGGTCCTTTCAACTGGAGATGCTGGGGGTTGAACCTGGGACCCTCGGCATGCCAAGCAGATGCTCTGCCACTGAGCCATGGCCCCTCCCCATTTGCTTACGGTGGTTTTATAAAGACCTGTGTTACATAGCATGCATATATACTTATTCTAAGATCTGTGAAGTACTTTGGATATTGGCTGTTCAGAGCCTTGGCTGTTCTGCAGCTGTCTGAGTCTGTGGGATCTCCGGCTGTCACCCACAGGCTAAGGGCAGGCTCCAAGGGCTCTTTGGCACTTACCCTTCGGCTCGCACCTCCAGCTCGCTCTGACTTTATAAGCTACACCTGCAGAGAAGAGGGGCAATGCCTCTACTCCAGCCCCAGTCAGGTGTCTCTATTCTACAGTCCCTAAGAGGAAAGGGGGGGGCAGCCTCAACCTTGCTATCTACATATCTGCCATTTTCAAGGTCTGTAGAACATTTCATAAGGCAAGACAGGCTCAAAGAGGATATTTACATTTGTCGCACACTGTAAAAAACTCGTTAACTGGATACGGCTTTTCACAGTACTTCAACACAGGAAGGATCCCAAAGAACAGTCCCCGTTTTGTTCAACTTTCTCATATCCCAGGATCACAGTGGAGCATTTATTCCCTGGGCACAAAACAAGCCACAGGCATACTTACTGGAGATATTATCCGACTCCAACTTGCACACCGCAAGGTCTTCTGCTGACACGTTGTTGCCTTCTGCACCCACCCCACATCCTCTGGGCCCCATAGAAGAGGCCCGTCTCCGTTCATGGATCTCATCAGAGATCATCTCCAGATTCTTCAAGGCAGTTTTGTATTCGCCCTTTGCCAAGAATAGCTTTGCTTGAAGATCATCTACAGTCTTCTTTAATTGCTAAATGAAGAAATCAGAAAAGACTTCTTTACTAAGACGGAACTCCTAGGTAAAATTCCATCATCGTGACTTAAAAAAAAGAAAAAAGATTTACAGCATAATTTACAGTGACTAATGTTACACGGACATTTGGTTTTCAGTTGTCATCATATACAGCAACTGAGGTGAGCACAGTGTGTTAGCACAGAGTGTTGGACTAAGAAGAGGGTGACCTGGATTCAGACTCCACCCCAACCGCAAAGCTCACGGGGTGACCTCAGGCCAGTTACACTCTCTCAGGGCGATTTCGCACTAGAGCTGCCTCGCGGCGCAGCCGCCGTTTGCCCCGACACTATTTGTCAATTTCACACCCGAGGCTGCGGGGCTGCATTTGACCCGCGGCTTCACCCGATTTCCTCCACGGTTTCGTGATCCTCAAAAACCAGGATCACGAAACTGCGGAGGAAATCGGGCGAAGCCGCCAGTCAAAATGCAGCCCCGCAGCTTCGGGTGTGAAATTGACATGTTTGTGTCGGGGCAAACGGCGGCTGCGCCGCGAGGCAGATCTAGTGCGAAATTGCCCTCAGCCTGAACTGCCTCACATGGCTGCTATGAGGATAAAATGCAGGATGAGGGAACTATATGCACTGCCCTGAATGCCTTGGAGAAAGGGTGGGATAACAGTGCAAAATAATAGATAGAAGTCCCACCAATTTCACTCGAGGGAATGCGAAGCCCGCTGACCATTCTGCCCCTGAAAGCAACGGAACTTAGAAATACCACATTTAACTGATATCTTTCAGCACAGGCAAAAGCATCAGTAGATCTGGAGTAAAATGCAGCCACACAAAGAAGAAATTTACATACTTGTGAATTTGGATAGTTGTTTTATCTGTTATTACTATTAAAAAGGGAGTGTGGGAAGGGAATGGACCATTGTCAGCAAACTATTAAAGCCTAAACGAAAGGAATGAACGTGTGATGCTGCCTTTTGCCAAGTCAGACCATTTGTCGATCAAGGTCCGTATTTTCTACTCTGGCGAGCAGCAGATGCTGAGAATTGTATGTGAGCCCTTCGGCACGAAAAGCAGATGCTCTACCTCCTAGCAGTGGCATGCTCTGTAACTACTGAAGTCATTCACTTGTTGGAAAAGGAATCTTAATCCAAGGTGGGGGGGGGGAGCAATTGCCATTCCTAGAGGTTATTTGATACATACCTCCAGTTGAACATAGTATTTTGCCTTGAGTTCAAAATAAGGCCTGTGAGGAAAGCAAAATAGAAAAAAAAGGCCACTTAGTGAAACAATACATGCGTAAGGACAGAGAAAGCTGCTTTGCACAATCCTCGAAAGGTCTCTTACAAATGGCCAATTCACACGGAACCCTTTTCATCAACAGATTCTGCTTCCCTCCCCTCCTCCTCCTCCCTCCCAGCTCTGCTACTCTAGAAAAAGCAGCAGCGTCTATGCCAGTGTGATACAGTAGTGGTTAGGGATGAGGGATTAAATCCCAACTCGCTACGAAGCTCATGCATAGGAGCAGGGGTCGTTTCGTAGAAAAAGAGCTAGGGGAACTCATTGGCATAACTCATTAGCATATGCCACACCCCCTGACATCGCCGGAAGTGTGTCATAAGGCCACACCCCCTGACATCACCGGAAGTGTGTCATAAGGCCACACACCCCGCCCCCAACCGCCACCGCCGGTCTTGCAGCTCCACTGCCGAGCCCCATGAGGGGCCCAGCGGTGGACCTGCAAGGCCGGCGGGAGTGCAAGGAAGCCCCGCGAAGGCCCTCCCTGGCCCCAGGCAGGCAGGGGTGGGGAGAGGCAGGGAGGAAGCAACTTACCCTCCCTCTTCTCCTGCCTCCTCCTGGCTGAATGAGGGCCGGAAGCGGGGCGGCCGGAAGCAGGGGGCGGGGCTTCGTCATGTGCCCCGCCCCCCGTACCTCACCCGAGGGAACTGCGATCCCCCCGAAATGACCTCTGCAT